GAGTAACTGGATTACCGCTCCAGTTCCACCACCACAGCATGCGTGTCGCCAAAAAAGCTCCAGCCCTGCCTTCAACAGCTGCGGCACAACACCTCGTGCTGGACTTCACTCAGGAAGATCCAAAAGGAGCTTCTTCTGGAAGGCCAACACGGTGTTTACAACGTGTCTGAAACACTCAAAATCCACAAGCACGTTCTTGATTTTCACTTTAAAACTAGAGCACTGCCAGAGCAGTTAGCATTAATTAACAGAGGAAAGATGACAGGCTTTAGGAAGCAGGTAAAAACAGGGTAACCGTAACTCGTCCATCTTCCCTTCCTTCCTGGGGAGTGCACATGAGGCCACGGAGGGAGGAAAGTCACCAGGGCTACTCAGGGGACTTCACCCACAATTCCACGTCAACTACACCAACACTCCAACTCTTACACTCTTTAAACGCAGAGCAGAGGGAAGAGAGTGGAGGTGAGGATGGGATGTTAGGAGAGGCACAAGGAACACGCTCGGTCACACTATACCCCAGAGCAGCTATCGGGTCACAACCCCCCTGAACACAATCCTGCAGCACGCTGACTTATTCAAGACCACCCACTTCTAAAACTCAATTTTACAACCAGACCTTGAAAGAAGACCTGAGTTTCTAAGCAGATGATTTTATGTGACACCTCGGAAAATAAGCCGAAAACGAACATGGGAAGTTTTTGGTCTCTGAAATCTTTGTGACAAGAGCTTCAGGGGTAGAAATCAGGCACCTGTGCTTTCAGTGAGGTTCGTTGAGAAGACCAGGGGAGCTCTGAGTCCTGGGTACAGGAGGTATCAACAGTCTCCTCTTTGCCCACCCACCTAAGCACTCACTCCAGCTTCCCTCTTGCAGGGCTCTCCATGCCCTCCCACCAGCAGGTCTCCTCATGGACACAAGTCCTACCACAGCCACCCTTCTCAGGCCACCGAGCCCTGCACCCGTCTGGCTACCTCACCCCTGCCTTCCGTCCCTCCCAGCACCCCGTGGTGACACACACATCCACCGTGTATATTTATATTCCCTGAATTACAGTTTAAACCCTTGACATTACCTCCAGAATTCCCGCACACGCGGTCTAGTTCCATCACGTGCCAAACCACACTGGGACTGCTCTTCACCGTTGCTGCGAGGCCTCCTTACTTCCCCAGGTCTCCTCCTACAAGGCACTCGCCCAAACCCACCTGGGCGCACTCCTTTTTTCCTACAACTTGCACAAGGAACGAGGACAGAAGAGGTTACGGGTGGCCATGCAGGGACTTGAGTTCGACACACGTTTAAAGGACAAATAACCTCCATGTTGGACACAAGCCTCCCCCCAACTGACTACACGACCGCTCACAAAATCCTTCACCTCCAAAGCTCTGTCCTACCCAACACACAGGTTTTGCAGAGGATATATACACCAAGGGGCTGTTGCATTAGAAGCAGTAAAGGCAAAGTTACCCTGAAGGAAGTGAATATTATACCAGTTCCTACTTCCCCTCTCCTCCCCCACTATGAATCAAGAGTGCAGCCAACTCTTCAACATGTGTGGTTACAAACGTTTTCTAGAAAAAAAGAACAAAAAAAGGAAAAAAAAAATTGCTGCAATAAAATCCTTATACACTTCTAGTTGCAGTAGAGTAACTTCAAACGTAGGTACTCAACGCACGAGCTAACACCCTGAGCCCTAGAAATATTTTCTGCATCAAAAAATACACATCTACCAAAAGTTATATCTGTTATGCATAACAGATCCTCTATATGCCTTTTGTTATCACCTTTCAACATTTTATAGTTGTAAGACAGATGTTTACCAATTTAGAGAGATATTCACATGAGAAGTAACTCTCAAAGCTTTAATTAAGGAAACGTGACAGGCAAGTGCAGGACGATAAACTTATTGATAAGCCAGCTATCACAGGCAGTTTGGCAGACTGTACGCT